GTGGATCCATTGATGTGTAGGCTCAATTTATGCCCACTTCTTGTGGGAATTATTTATGTACAAGACAACCTCTAGTCTAAGAACATGACACTTCCCCCGTACAATACAGAATCCCTTCCCTGATAAGCAAAAGCAGCAGTCACGTTTCTATGCTCTGAGACATAATACTAGTCCTTATGGCTCTTAGTACAGTTTGGAATAGAACTTTTGTGTACAGTGTTTTCGGAATATGTGAGAACCTCAGATTTGAAAGTGTGCCAGAGTGAGAGTGAAATGTCTATCAGAAATGTTGGTGACCTTTTGAAAAATCCAGAATGAATGCAGTTTCAGTTTCCTGTGGGCCCTCGAGATTATTTTCAATGCACAGTATAATATTCTAAAGGGAAATTTGGGGTTGAGCTCATTGCTAGACAAGAAAAATCTTAAGTAATGACGCTAGCAGTAGAGATATGAATTTTATAATAGGCGTAGGCATCAAGATAGATGGAGGAGTTATAATTTGGCAGATGATCTGGAAATGGGTACATGAAACAAACAAACTGAAGGAGGAAATCAAGCCGTTTCGAGAAGAGTTTTCCCACAGTGCTTCAGACAAAGAATAAAGACGTACTTTGTTGACCAAACTTTTGTAGCCTATTTTCGTCAAGACCAAATCTTTAATGGTACTTTTGTAGATGTGAGTTTTTAACAATATGCCTTATGTCCAAACTTGGAGAAGGAGTTTAACACCATGACCAACAGGAAAGATGGAAACCTTGAACAAAAAGTTTTGTTTTTTAACCTACATTTTGCATATTATATTCTTATCAGTGTTTCTCCTCCCGCCCAGTGTTTGAAGCCCAGGTCTGATGTGTGGGCCTGTTTATTTCTGGGGGAAGCAGGTTGCGATGCAGGTATGTTTTTTCTTCCATTTTTTTAATATCTCTTGCTGATATGGTGCTTTAAGTGACTTTGGAATGAGGTGCAATCTTTCCATGTTAGTTAAGAGAGAGATCCTTGTTCCTTCTGATCATTTGTGTCTTTGGGACAATGGGGTGGACATTGTAGCCCAACTGATGGTAATTCTATATTTTTATGACCAGAAGGTGAGTTTTCAGTGGAGGAGATGTGAAAGGGTAGAAATGGTCATGGGAAAGAGAGACGTGACGCTGAGAAGACAGCTGATGGTAACGTTTACCATCCTGGTCATGGTTGGCCAGAAAAGGGAAGGGGCTGGACCCCTGAGAAAATTGTTTTGGCAAGTAATGTTTGGTATCTTTAAAACACGTTATGGAAAAAATAGTGAGTTTTCACGTTTTACTTACATGGTGGCAGGAGAAATAGATTAATTAGTGGGTGCCATTTTGAGGAGCTATGTGCTCCTGTCATAGAATGAAGGGGCCCTCGTCTCACCTGTTGTTGGTCTTATTCTAGGTAGATGAAACTAAATCCTCTTTTTAGAAGTTACTAAGAAAATCTTGGGGCCCTAGTGGCACAGTGGTTAAGAGCTACGGCTGGTAACCAAAAGGTCAGCAGTTCGAATCCACCAGCTGCTCCTTGGAAATGCTATGGGGCAGTTCTCCTCTGTCCTGTAGGGTCAGTAGGAGTTGGAATCGACTCAAAGGCAACAGGTTTGGTTTTTGGTTTGAGGAGATCTTTACCTGCCCTTCCCCAGAGGGCATGTGCCCTCCGTGCGCAGCTGGGGTATATCTTCTGGTGGTGCTGGGATGATCTGTGGGCAGCAGCTTTGGACATGGAGCCACCGTGGGCCAGGCGTGTGCTGGCTGTCTCCACACATTCGATCAGTACACCCTTACTGGAGCCTCTCAGGGTAAGCGTGGCATTTATTGTTCAGGTGAGAAAGCCAGACCCTGCAGTCCCAGTGAGCAGAAAGCCAGGATTCCAGCCCAGGCCAGCCCAGTTCCACAGCCTGAGTGCCAACAACTATGTGCGAGAATGTTCTTTGTGATAAAACCAAAGAGCTGGGAGGTCCCCTGAGAAGATACCTGGCTCCTCTTCCAGTGTGAGCAGAGAATGACTAACCCTCAGGTCACATGGTTGTTATGCCATGTGGGAGGTGATTAGGCAACACATGAAAAGGTCATAGGGCAAGAAACATATACCTCTGTGACTTATTTTATATTTCATAATCTCGACCATCAGTGCTTCCTTATATTTAGCTAAAATCTGAACTGCCTCAGAAGAAAGGCTAATCGTCTACTTCCGAATGATCACAGCCTTTGAAAACCCTACGGAGCACACTTCTACTCTGATACACATGGGGTCGCCATGAGTCAGAGTCAACTCAGTGCAACTGGTTTTTTTATGTGTATTTTTTCCCACACAGGTGGTGGCACCCACACTGCTCTGTGCCTTGCTCTTTTCTCTTAACAAAATGTCTTGGAGGCCTTTCCGTTTTAGCATGGAGTGAGCAGCCTTGGTCTTCCTAACCACTGCATAGAGTTCCCTTCTGTTCCATTCCATTCATACCACTGTGGTATGGACACACCATAGTTAAGTCTGTCCTATGCAAGTAGGTTTAGGGTAGTGTTAATCTTTTGCTATCACAAGCATTGCAATAACAGTACACTTTTACAGCATCGTTTTACACGTGTGAAACATTTCTGTAGACTAAATCGTAGACATGGAATTGTTAAGATCATGTGTGCACATTCAAACTTTTGAGAGGCAGTACCAGCTTGGCCTCCCCGACACTGCACCAGCTCGCCTTCCCCTCGCCCCCCGAGCCGTGAGCACACTTGTTCCCACGCTCCAACACGCCAGCTTTCCAGTCTTGTGAGTGCTGCCGTCTGCCGGGTGAGGAGTGGTGTCCCGGTGGGATCCACTAACATGAGTCTCTAACACGAGTGGAGGGAGCCTTTTTATGTGCCCAGGGGACAATTATGTTTCTGTTTTTGTCAGCAGCCTTCTTTTTGCTCGTTTTTCCATTTAGTTCTTCATCTTTTTACTTACTGATTTTAGGGTGTGGTATGTTCTAAAGCAATTAGCCTGTGCTGTGAGTTGCAAATACTTCCCCCGTTTGTCTTTGAAGAAGTCCAATGACTTCAGTGTTTCTCTTCATGAAGACGTGTTCTGCCTTTTCATGTCCCATCTGTCGGGCCTCCTGGTAGGACTCGCAGCTTCTGGAATGTGCTAAGAACGGCCTTCTCCCTGCCCGGAGTACAAGACAAAACAGCCTCATTGCAGTGTTTTAGTGATAGATTTCTGTATGTTTAAATATTTTGTTCATCTTGAGTTTTTTTGTGCTGTGAAGTGTGAATAATCTGTTTTCCCCACACTGATTGAAGCATCGTTTTTATCAGATACTTCAATATTTTATATATATATTTTATATATTTTGGGTATATTTCTTCACCTCCTAGTCATTGATTTGTCTGTGTCAACATGCACTGGCACCAAACTTTCTAATTAATGTAGTTTTTCAGTAATTTTCATATCTAAAGGTTTAAACACAGAAGAAAACATTCTTTGATGGTTATGAGGGTGGGGAGGGAGGGAAAGGGGTATTCACTAACTAAATAGTAGACAAGAATTATCTTAGGCAAAGGGAAGGACAGCACACACTATAGGGGAAGTCAGTACAATTGTACTAAACCAAAGCTAAGAAGTTTCCCGAATACAGCCAAACACTTCGAGGGACAGAGTAGCAGGGGCAGGGATCTGGGGACCATGGTTTCAGGGGACATCTAGGTCAATTGGCGTAACAAAGCTTATTAAGAAAATGTTCTGCATCCCACTTTGGTGAGTGGCGTCTGGGGTCTTAAAAGCTAGTGAGCAGCCGTCTAGGATGCATCAATTGGTCCCAACTCACCTGGAGTAAAGGAGAATGAAGAACATCAAAGATACAAGGAAAATATTAGCCCAAGAGACAGAAAGGGCCACGTAAACCAGAGACTGCATCAGCCTGAGACCAGAACTAGATGGTGCCTGGCTACCACCAATGACTGCCCTGACAGGGAACACCACAGAGAGTCCCTGACAGAGCAGGAGAAAAGTGGGGTGCAGAATTCAAATCTAGTAAAAAGACCAAACTTCATGGTTTGACTGAGACTGGAGAGACCCTGGAAGACATGGCCCCCAGACTCTCTGTTACCCCAAAACTAAAACCATTCCTGAGGCCAACTCTTCAGACAAAGATTAGACTGGACTATGGACATAAAATGATACTTGTGAAGAGTGTGCTTCTTAGCTCAAGTAGATACATGAGACTAAATGGGTAGCTCCTGTCCAGAGGCGAGATGAGAAGGCAGAGAGGGTCAGGATCTGGTTGAATGGACATGGGAAGTCTGGGGTGGAAAGGAAGAGTGTGCTGTCACAGTATAGGGAGAGCAACTAGGGTCACATAACAAGGTCTGTATAAATTTTTGTATGGGAGACGAGCTTGAATAGTAAACTTTCATTTAAAGCACAACAACAAAAGGAAAAACAAAATTCATATCTGATAAGGCCAATCCTCCCCTATTGTGTTTTCCAGAATTTTCTTGGCCATCTTTGCATGTTTTTTAGAATCAGCCTGTCACATTCCTCAAGAATCCCTCTGACACATTAGTTAGAGTAGCCTAGGATCTGTAGACTGACTTAGCGGGCTAAGGGGAAATGTACCACTGTAATTCCTGGGTAAACGTAGATGTGTATGAGACTCACTTTTCTGGTAAGTATTAAAATGATTTGATAAAATGTTAACCAAAACCAAAAATGGTTTCTATAGCCTAAAGTTCCAGAGAAATAAGACTAAAAACACACTAATAATGTAAAATTGAAGGAATTTTTGAGCATTGTTTATTTTGGTATCCATTTTTTATCATGAATGCCTCAGACTCATCTGTTTGCTTTGTGATCATTTATAAATATCATTTGTACCCTGGAAGAGAAGCAAAAAATTAAATATAATAAGGTTTTATGTGTGGAAAGTAGGTTTATACCGCAGTTTTCATAAGCCGTTGTTGTTTGTTTGAAGTCCTTTATCCCTCACAGTGCTTTTTCTCACCTGTCTTTCGTAGCCTAAGTGCAATGGCCAGCTGTTACTGACTCAAGTGTGGAAGCATCTGAACTTGATAGAGTCTGACTACTTCGGGCTAGAGTTCCAAAACGTCCAGTCCTGCTGGGTACGTGAGGCTGCTTCTCTTTGCTTTAGAAGCAGGTGTAGAGATGTTGTAGAGTGTGTAGATGCATACGTGCACAGAGAGCCGTCAGAACCTGTGATCACGGAAGGAAGGAAGGAGGGGGCTTTGTACCTGGCGTGCCATTTACTGTCAAAGCCAATATTGAAACATTTTATTTATAGATGTAGGGAATATATTTGCCTTTCTCTAAAGCTGAATTCACATCCTCCCTAAATCTGCCTGTCCATCAACACATGTGCCAGAGATACCCTTTCTTCATAAGTGATAAAAGCAACCAGTAGTGCTCCTGCGTGGTAATTACTGAAAGAGGACTTTGAACAAACTCTTCCGCTAGGTTGGCGATGCTTGTCTTACAGCAGTAGGATGTAGCCTTACCAAGTGCAGAACTTGAATTTTTATTCTGGTTCAGAGTGTGTGAGCACGTTGGGCTCCGTCTGGCGCTCAGAAACCCTCGCAGAGCTGTCTCCCCGTGTGGCCCTGCTGTAGCACGCAGCGCCCCCTCTGTGCAATAGCCACTCGTCAGTTCTTCACAAATGCAGTCTACCCCAAATATTAGAATAATTATTGGTGCCCACTCTGGCACCATAACCATGCCTCTGTGTGAGTCGTGGCAGTGCTGTGACCCAGCATTGGGGGTCTCACTGCTTCCTAAGGCCGCTGCTCTGCGTAGGAGAGCGGGGTGAGGGCTGGAGTGTTCCCGCAGCAAACATTTCTCTAAATTAGAAATATTTTTGTATTTTATGATGTTTGTTAAATAGAGATTTTTTAATGGACTTGATCTCTTTTCTTAAATCCTCTTTAGATCTGGCTTGAACCTATGAAACCCATCATTAGGCAAGTACGAAGTGAGTACTTTTGAAAAACTTCAAAATTCTGTTCACTTAAGTTGTTTTGTTCTTGAATGTTCAGATCCGAGGTATGTCCACGTGTTCATTAAACCACTCTGGGGGATAAGAATGAGGTACTCACCAACAGCAGGTAAATTGGGACGTCACTTTGCTGTTTTGTTTTGAACTACGATAGGAGGAGGGCAATAAATTTACCTCAGGTGGTTCTAATGCTACCTGGATATGCTGTTTGGTATCAGGTTAATATTTCCCCCATATGCAAAAGTTAGTGTATGATTTTTCCTCAGGTTATGAAAAGGCATTTAGAGTCCTCTTTTAAGTAACATTTTTAATAAAATGGTTAATACTGTTCTGTAGTTATAAACATAATTGTAATGTAAACATAACTATTTTTGTTATTCTCTGTTAAATTTTTTAAATAATGACCTATAGTAATGCTTCTTAGTCCTTATAGGAGGAAGCTCTAGTTGCCGGCATTCACCTGTAACTTTTTAGCACTAAGTTGAGGGGTAAGGGAATTATAGAAGTGGTTTATTGGGCACCGATAAAGCTACAACCATTTCAGGTGCCATGCACTTTAGCAAAATAGCTCCCTTTTTCTTCTTTTGAAAATTACATGGCTGAGTTATTATAAAATTTCAATAAAGCTAAGATATTCAGATCAGCTAATGAATTTTATGCCTTTTCTTTACAGTAATCAGATTGTTCTAGTTCAGTATGCTAGAACAGTATACAGTATACCATATATACTAAAATATATGAGGATTTCAAAAACAGTCTTTATTATTACTACTACTAATAGTATAAATGCTTTATATTTATTAGTTTTTAATCCTAAATAATGAACAGGAATAGAGCACAGGGCATTCTTAGAGCAGTGAAACTATTCTGTATGATGCTGTAATGGTGGACACATGACATTATGCATTTGTCAAAACCCACAGGACTGTACAACACTAAGAGTGAACCCTAAGGTAAACTATAGACTTTACTTAATAATAGTGCATCGTTATCTGTTCATCAGTTGTAGCAGGTATACCACAGGAACACAAGATGTTAACAATGGGGGAAACCATGTGCAGAGGAGTATATGGGAACTCTCTGTACTTTCTGTACAATTTTTCTGTATACCTAAAACTGTTCTAAAAATAAAGTCTATGAAAAATATAAACAAGAATGTATTTTAAAATTTTTATGTGCAATTTTCTACTTGTTTTTAGGGTTTTCTTAAATAATATTGTCTGCTTCTAAAAATGGCGTGGGGGTGGTGTCTGACCACTTCTAACCTCACAAGGGGGAAGGAGAATCCAGATCAACAGCCCAAGGCTGATTCCTATGAGGCAGAGGTCAAACTCTGCCACCTTTACCAATTCTGACACCAACCGTCCCTCCCACGGTGCTCCATACTTCTCTGCTGGATTCGATAATTCATTGCAGTGGCCATGCAGAACTCACAGACAATACTCACGATTATGGGGTTTATTAGGGAAGTAACAGGTTACAATTCAGGTTCCGGAACACTCAGGATACAGTTCTTCCATCAGGACAGCCTCTTCCTAGTCATGCTCACAGGCACACCTCTCTGGCCCTCAGTCTCTGCCCTACTCGATTAGTGTTACTAATCTCTTTTAGCTCTACCAATAAGTGCCCAGAGGCACTCTACTCTGCCACCAGTTCTCCTGCCGAAAGGCACTCAGCTTTCTCACTCCGTGGGCCAGGAAGCCCACCACGCCATCTCCTGCCATCATTTCTCTGCTACCGCTTCTTGAGCCTTCTCTCTCTGTCTCTGTCTGCTGGTTCCAGACAGAGGTGGTGGTGGGATTGTCTCTCTCCCACCTCTGGAATGGCTCACCTCAAGCCCAGTGGGATGGCAAAACTGACCAATCCCTCTGGTAGGTTACAATTACCCTATGTACACAGTCTCACACAGTCACTTGGGTGGGAGTTAGAAGACCATGGTGAGAAAGGCCACACAAAAGCAATCCATTGCACCACACTGCTTAATACAGAAGGTTTTATATTTTTCTTTGATATCTGTGATTGGTACTTTGAACTGATATTTCATGTATAGGAAATACCTTAATATCTTACTTGAAAAGATTTGCTTTAATGGTCCATTCAAAAGCACTAGCTTAATTACACTATGATGTATGGAATGAGTTAAGTATACAGATTGACTTTATTTGTGAAGTTTAAATTTTTTGTTGTTCTAGGGCCAAAGAATGCATTGTTTCATCTATCTGTGAAGTTTTTCCCACCTGACCCGGGCCAGTTGCAAGAAGAATATACAAGGTAGAGAGTGCATCCTGAGCCGAGGTTGCATGCACAGGGATCTTATAGCCATCTGGTATTGCCCACAATGCCTGGCTTATCAGATGCTCAGGGTGTGCTTGCTGAAAGAATGAATGAGCCTCTTGTACACTTAAAAATTTTAGTAAACATATAGTAGTTAAAAGAACGCCATGCAGACTAAACCAAAAGCTAAGAAGTTTCCTGAACACAACCAAACACTGAGGGACAGTGTAGTAGGGGTTGGGGTCTGGGAACCATGGTTTCAGGGGACATCTAGGTCAATTGGCATAACAAAGTTTATTAAAAAAAGTTCTGCGGGGACAAGGAAGCTGGTGATAGGGAACCCAAGTTTGAGAAAGGATAGTGTTGATGTGTTGTGAGATTGTTAACCATTGTCATAGGGCAACATTTGTAGTAACTGTTAAATGAGAAACTATTTTGTTCTGTAAGCCTTCATCATAAGTGAGAATAACAGCACAATTGGAAGAGTGTAGTCAATGTCACTGAACTGTGCATGTAGAAATTTTTGAAACAGTGTATCTTTGGCTATGTGTATTCACCAAAAAAAAAAAGGTTGAGAAGTTAGAGGGTTAATATGTTGTGGGGTTGTTAACCAATGTCATAGAACAACATGTGTACTACTGTTTCGTGAGAAACTATTTGTTCTGTAAGCCTTCACCTGAAGTACAATAAAATATAAAAAAAAAAAAAAGTTCTGCATCCCACTTTGGTGAGTGGCGTCTGGGGTCTTAAAAGCTAGCGAGTGGCCACCTAAGATGCATCAGTTGGTCCCAACCCACCTGGAGCAAAGGAGAATGAAGAACACCAAAGACACAAGGAAAATATTAGCCCTAGAGACAAAAGGGGCCACATAAACCAGAGACTCCATCAGCCTGAGACCAGAAGAACTAGATGGTGCCTGGCTACCATCAATGACCGCCCTGACAGGGAACACAGCAGAGAGTCCTTGATGGAGCGGGAGAAAGCTAGGGTGCAGAAATTAAATTCTAGTAAGAAGACCAGACTTAATGGTCTGACTGAGACTGGAGGAACCCCAGAAGAAATGGCCCCCGGACTCTCTGTTAACCCAGAACTAACACCATTCCCGAAGCCAACTCTTCAGACAAAAATTAGACTGGACTATGAGACATAAAATAATACTCATGAAGAGTGTGCTTCTTCATTCAAGCAGATACATGAGACTAAATGGGCGGCTCCTGTCCAAAGGCAGGATGAGAAGGCAGAAAGGGACAGGAGCTGGTTGAATGGACACAGGAAACCCGGGGTGGAAGGGGACAGTGTGCTGTCACGTTACAGGGATTACAGCTAGTGTCACATAACAATATGTATATAAATTTTGTATGAGAAATTAACTTGAGCCGTAAACTTTCACCTAAAGCACAATTAAAAAAAAAAAAAAAGGAACCCCATGCAACTGTCGGTTTGTTGTACTGTGGTGGCTGTGTGTTGCTGTGGTGTTGGAAGCTATGCCACTGGTATTTCAAATACCAGCAGGGTCACCTATGGTGGACAGGTTTCAGCAGAGCTTCCAGACTAAGACTGACTAGGAAGGAGGACCTGGTAGTCTACTTCTGAAAAAATTGACCGGTGAAAACCTTATGAATAGCAGCATGGAACATTGTCTGGTATAGTGCTGGAAGATGAGCCCCTCAGGTTGAATGGAGTCCAGCTTTTGGGCCCTTCATTTGCTGATGTGGCATGACTCAAAATGAGAAGAAATAGCTGCAAACATCCGTTAATAATCAGAACATGGAATGTACAAAGTATGAATCTAGGAAAACTGGAAGTCATCAAAAATGAAATGGATCACATAAACGTCGATATCCTAGGCATTATTGAACTGAAATGGACTGGTATTGGCCATTTAATCAGACAGTCATATGGTCTACTCTGCTGGGAGTGACAAAAGGAATGGCGTCGCATTCATTGTCAAAAAGAACATTTCAAGATCCGTCCTGAAGTACACACTGTCAGTGATGGGATAATATCCACATGCCTAATTATTCAAATTTACACACCAACTGCTAATGCCAAAGATAAAGAAATTGAAGATTTTTACCAACTTCTGCAGTTGGAAATTGATCAAACATGCAACCAAGATGCATTCATAATTACTGGTGATTGGAATGCAAAAGTTGGAAACAAAGAAGGATCAGTAGTAGGAAAATATGGCTTTGGTGATAGAAACAACAACAGAGATCACATGATAGAATTTTGCAAGACCAATGACTTACTCATTGCAAATACCTTTTTTCAACAACATAAACAGTGACTGTACATGTGGACCGCGCCAGATGGAGTACACAGGAATCAAATTGACTACATCTGTGGAAAGAGATAATGGAGAAACTCAATATCATCAGTCAGAACAAGGCCAGGGGCCAACATGAGGAACAGACCATCAATTGCTCATATGCAAGTTCAAGTTGAAGCTGAAGAAAATTAGAGCAAGTCCACGAGAGCCAAAATATGACCTTGACAATATTGCACCTGAATTTAGAGACCATATCAAGAATACATATGATGCAATGAACACTAATGACCGAAGACCAGACGAGTTGTGGAATGACATCAAGGACATAATACATGAAGAAAGCAAAAGGTTATTAAACAGACAGGGAAGAAAGAAAAGACCAAAATGGATGTCAGAAGAGATTCTGAAACTTGCTTTTGAAGGTCGAGTAGCTAAAGCAAATAGAAGAAATGATGAAGTAAAAGAATTGAACCGAAGATTTCAAAAGATGGCTCAAGAAGACAGAGTAAAGTATTATAATGACATATGCAAAGACCTGGAGTTAGAAAACCAAAAGGGAAGAACATGCTTGGTATTTCTCAAACTGACAGTACTGAAGAAAAAATTCAAGCCTTAAGCTGCAATATTGAAGGATTCTATGGGGAAAATGTTGAACACACAGGAGGCATCAAAAGAAGATGGAAAGAATACACAGAATCACTGTCCCAAAAAGAATTGGTCAGCGTTCAGCCACTTCAGGAGGCAGGATATGATCAAGAACCGATGGTACTGAAGGAGGAAGTCCAAGCTGCATCGAAGGGAATGACAAAAAACAAGACTTCAGGAATTGATGGAATACCAATTGAGATGTTTCAACGAACATCATGCAGTGCTGGAGGTGCTCGCTCATCTATGTCAAGAAATTTGGAAGACAGCTTCTTGGCCAACCAACTGGAAGAGATCCATGTTTGTGCCCATTCCAAAGAAAAGTGATCCAACAGAATGTGGTAATTATCAAACAGTGTCATTAATATCACACACAAGTGAATTTTTCTGAAGATCATTCAAAAGCAGTTACAACAGTACATCAACAGGGAACTGCCAGAAGTTCAAGCTGGATTCAGAAGAGGATGTGAAATGAGGGATATCATTGCTGATGTCAGATGGATTTTGGCTGAAAGCAGAGAATACAAGAGATGTTTACCTGTGTTTCAGTGACTATGCAAAGGCATTCGACTTTGTGGATCTTAACAAATTATGGACACCATTGCGAAGAATGGAAATTCCAGAACACTTAATTGCCCTCATGAGGAACCTGTACATAGACTAAGAGACAGTAGTTTGAACAGAACAGAGGGATACTGTGTGGTTTAGAATCAGAAAGGGTCTACATCAGGGTTGTATCCTTTTGCCATTCTTATTCAGTCTGTATTCTGAGCAAATAATCCTAGAAACTGGACTATATGAAGAAGAAGGGGGCATCAGGATTGGAGGAAGACTCATTAACAATCTACTGTATGCAGATGACACAACCTTGCTTGCTGAAAGTGAAGAGGACTTGAAGCACTTATGATGAAGATCAAAGACTACAGCCTTCAGTATAGATTACACTTCAACATAAAAAAAGGAAAATCAACGCCCTTGGAAGCAGCAGTCAAGAAATCAAACGACGTGTTACACTGGGCAAATCTACTGCAAAAGACCTCTTTAAAATGTTGAAAAGCAAAGATGTCACTTTGAGGACTAAGGTGCACCTAACCCAAGCCGTGATACTTTCAGTCGCCTTATATACATGTGAAAGCTGGACAATGAATAAGGAAGACTGAAGAAGAATTGATGCTTTTGAATTATGATGTTTGTGAAGAATATTGAATATACCGTGGACTGCCAGAAGAATGAACAAATCTGTCTTTGAAGAAGTACAGCCAGAATGCTCCTTAGAAGCTAGGATGGCAAGACTTCATCTCACGTACTTTGGACATGTTATTAAGAGGGACCAGTCCGTGGAGAAGGATATCACGGTTGGCTAAGTAGAGGGTCAGCGAAAAAGAGGAACACCCTCAACGAGGTGGATTGACACAGTGGCGCCAACGGTGGACTCAAGCATAGGAACGATTGAGAGGAAGGTGCAGGACCTCAAGTGTTTCGTTCTGTTGTACTTAGGGACGTTCTGAGTCAGAAGCAACTTGATGGCACCTAACAACAACAGTTAAAAGAAACATTTTGACTGTTGACTCTTGCACATAAACAAATGCAAGTAGGATTTGGAAGAAAGGTTTGTGGTAAAAATCAGAGAATAAAAAATGAGATGTTAGGGTAATATTGAACTAATAGTCTCCCAATGAACATAGATTTCTCCACTAACAAAGTTCTTAGGAACTTTTGAGTATATGTTTACTTCCTTATCAGCAAAATATATTTAGCTGGAAGAAGGTCTAAGCATCAAAGTGTCCTTACAGATACATGGAGCAGAAATATTTAGGTGAGTTCTTTTGTGCTACTATTTTGGATTCAAGATAGATTCTTTGCAAACGTAGTTGAAAGAAAATTTAACAGTGTTTCGTCTTGTCAATATGATTATGGAAGTTTTTTTCTTTATATTTTTACATACTCCTGCATGTATCAATTTTCTAACAAAGCAACCTAAAACCAACCCAAAACCCAAGGTCAGAAAGAAGATAGAAGAGAACTATGAGGCTGTTTTGGTTGTAGTTGTTGAGACGGTATGAGAATAACTTTTTAGCCTCCCAGGCTAAAAATGGATCTAGAAGTGGGTCATAGATGTCTGTGAGCCTTTCTTTAAAAGGTCTCTGCGGGTTGTTTGGACACCACGGAACCATAGTGTGTCAGCCAAAGGGGATGTAGTGAGCACATCAGTTCAGCCTTTCCTTACAGGTGAGGAGACTGAAAGCCAGGGGCATTAAACATGCCTTTATGAGTGGACACAGTTTATCCTAGAGTGTTGGAAATGCCTTACGTTTAGGAAAAGGTTCCTTTTGAGGGATTCACTTTTAAATACATGTACCTGGGAAATGGTGGGGAATCAGGAGCATTACTCAATCCAGGTTCCTGAATTCAAGTCTTAGGACTTGTTCTGGGGAGTCAGTTTTATAGTTAACCCCTCTTCATTTTTATGTTGGAAGTTCCTTTTTTTTTTAATGAAAAAGTACATGTTTATGGTAAAATTAAAACTTAAAAATAAAACTATAAACAGTGAAAATTCCCCTTCACTGTCTACACACCTGCCCTTAACAGCCGGGAGTATGTATTCCAGATGAATCCACAGCAATGGACACACAGACATAGGGTTTTAAAGAAATCATTATTTTATAAAACAGTATCAAACTGTACATATTGAACTATAGGTTCATCTTCCTCCCATTTAACAACATGCCATGGGCATCTTTCCATATTAGTATATGTGGCTATCCCCTAATTTATTTAATTATTCCCCTATTAATGCATATTTAGATTATTTCTAATTTATCTCTGTTATAATACTACAAATAAACATTTTTGTCCACATATCTTTGTGAACTCAAGGGACTATTTCTGCAGGAAAGATTCATAGAAGTGGAATTACGAAGTTAAAGGGTACTCACATTTTAAATTTCAAGAGAATGTCCTAAAATGTTAGTAGCTTGCACTAGTGTGTAAACTCCAAGGAGGGCAGGGAGTCTGTCTCGTCCACCACTCTGTTTCCAGCTCCAAGAACAGTACCTGGAGCATAAAAAGGCTCAATAATTATTTGTTGATCGAATAAATGAATATATAAGTGTTTTCAAATTGCCTTTAGTTACTTTCTCCCCAGTGGTATTCATGAGTGCCTGTTGCTCAGATCCTAGCCAAGACCAAATATTATCAATCTGTTTAAAAATTTTATAGCCACATTTTAAACTGTGTCTTAGTTGGGTATTTATGCTATTTCTTCCAAAATTGTGAGTCCAGTTTTGTAGGTGTAACAGAAATAATAATAGTTTATGAACTTCCTCCTTAGAGGTGTTGCTGCTGACAGAATAATGATGTGGGAATATGGTATGCATGGAAAGACTGTCTTCTATTTTTTATTGTTAGCATTTGAGTGCTTCTTGTGTGCTGAGCACTTTGTGTGCGTTATCTGATGTGTGTGACTCAGCTCTGCTGAAATGGTCTGTCATCTGACCTTTGGTTGGTAGCTGCTGTTGCATGAAAGGCCTTTTGTGACTGTGCATTCAGGCCACTGTGCTCCCTGGGCGCTGGCCTGTCTTGGGGCCCATTGTAGTCCTGCTCTGGAGGACTGTCAGCATTGGAGCTGACCTCTGTCCTGCTTTCAACCCCTCCAGGTACCTATTTGCCCTGCAACTCAAGAGGGACTTGCTGGAGGGGCGGCTGACCTGCAGCGACACCACTGCAGCTCTCCTCGCGTCTCATCTCCTGCAGTGTCAGTATCTCCTGCGGCACGGTGATGTCCTGGGCCCCAGCATGCTGATGGGGACCCCTGTAGTCGGCACAGGGCATACGGAGTTGAGAGCAGGTCAAAGACAGGGCACTTCTGCTCGCAGGTGTTTCTGATAAGCCTAAGATGCATTTCTGTGAAATGGAGCTCTTCCTGGCAAACACCTCCACTAGGAGAGGAGGCGGAGGCCAAAGTCTGCAGCCATGTCCATTGTTTGGGGTCTCTGGGGTGTGCATGTCCCCAGCAGTCCATCTTCAGTCTCTGACCAGACTCAGACCGAGGCTCCACACACCCCGCAGGCCTCCCTGGGGAGAGCTGTGTCCTCTCTGACTAGCTCAGCATCAGACCTGGAAGGAAAGAGAAAGCGGCCCTTAGTGCCCCAGACAGAGTGACAGATGGCTCAGAAGTGTGTGAGGACTTCTTTCACAAATAAGCTGATAGGCATGTAAGCAGAGGAGGTTCGGAAGGCAGGGTGCCTCGCTGGCGTCAGGAAGCCACCGCTGTGGGAATCAGCAGTGAGAAGGCCCACCTGGCTCCAGGCTGGAGGCTGAACCACATGTCTAGAGTCGTAGAGCTAGCGGTTCTGACATCTCAGTGCAGAAGTGTGGTACAGAAAGTGTCAGGGATTTTCAGGAATTGTTGCCCTGATACACCCTCTTCGGTAGCAGATGTCATCCCAGGCCCCATCCTGCTATGTGGGGCTTGCTAACGGCCACCACATAGATTTTTCTCACTTGACCTGAGGGTTCCCAGGTAGGCAGGCGGCTTTGCAGTGTGTCCTCCGGAGCTGCTGCGGGTGGTGCCCCAGGGAGGGTCCAGCGGGTCAGTTTGCTTTAGCTGGACTCTGTGTTACAGTGGCTTTTCCAGCTGTAACCTTCCCCTTAACGGTGCTGCTCAGACAGAGGAGACAGGACAGCTGAGAGAGGGTGGGGTTGGCACCAGCCCCGCTGCTGTAGAGAGCATCACTGAGCAGGAGGAGAAGCAGGGTGGGACCGAAGCGCAAGCAGGGAGCTGCCCGCCAGCCTGTGTGAGTCGTGCAGGTGCCACGGGTGCCCAGGGAGCACCCTGAAGCTTACTCACAGACGGCTCCATGGGGCTTGTGTGCTTGCCACTTCTCCATGGATTTGAGGTTGTTCCAAAGCAAAAAAAGCTAAATTTGTTTTAAAAAATTCTCAAACAATTTTAAAAATTTTGTTAAAGAAAGGCTTAAAATTGTTGAGCTTTACTACAGTTTTTAAAACATTTGCAGCCTTGTTGTTGTTGTTAGGTGCCGTGGAGTCGGTTCCGACTCACAGCGACCCCGTGTACCACAGAACGAAACACGCCCGCTCCTGCGCCATCCTCACAGTCATTGCTATGCTTGAGCCCATTGTTGCAGCCACTTGTCAGTCCATCTCACTGAGGAAATTAGAAAGAGATGTTGTTTCTAAAGAAATTTGAGAGGCCCTGAAGGGAAAAAATGATTTAAAACACATTATCCTGAAACAAAGTGCATTATCCTGGTTGTGATCCTGAGACAGCTCGCGTGTGAAGTGCATACTGAAACAGTAAGTCAGTACTCATGTTAGACTCGAGGCTCAGTCTGCCTCCCGGAGTCGCTCCCAGGCTTTGTCCTTCAGAATCAGAAAAATCCGCAACGCTTGCCTTCGTGTCACACTTAATTGCCTTTTTAACAGCAGAAACTATGTGCAAAAATAAAATAGAAAATCTTGGATTTTTAGAGATATATTATTTTAGTATACATCCAGGATAATTTTTTTACTTTTGCTTGTGCACCTGCATGTACAGATGCCTATATTTTACTCAAACATTAGAATTACTAACTTTATTATCCACCTCAGCGGAGATAGGAGACTATGACGAAACTCTGGACCGAGAGCACCTCAGAGTCAGCGAGTACCTGCCTGAGCAGGCGCGCTTCCTGGAGAAGGTGCTGGAGTTCCATCAGAAGCACACGTGAGTCCATCGAGTCCGCGGCAGGCACACTGTCGCTGCGGTCATGACTGGACCAAGGGGATGAGGTGGCTGGAGGGCTGATGCTGGGCTTCTGCAGGGCTGGCTAAAGTGACACCCCTGCTCCCTGGTCTCGGGACACGAGCTGCCCCGTTGCTGCCACACCACTTTAGAGACGGCTAGAAAAGACAGGGGGGACCTGAGGACGTGATCCCCAGGAGCAGAATCGCGGTGGCTGTTTGCAGCAGCCCTTTACACGTCCACGAGCCGTTTCTCACTAAAGTATGTAAGAAGTAGTATTGTCCAAGTAACTACATAGTAGGAACAAGAGTAGTTCTGGAGTGGAATGGAAGAAATGCCTGTGTTGGAGTTAACAGTGTCTACCTACATCAAGAGAGTTGCTATTCCTCCTGGCAGCCATGTTCTGTGACTTGTTACATGTTCATGTCCAAAATGTGATGGTCCTATGTTCTCTGGATTGCAGTGAAGGAGACTCAGAGGAGGGAGGCCGGAGCGGGGGATGAAGGAGGAGGCTGGGGGTGGCTGGAGGAAGAGGAGGAGGGGTGAACTGGAGGAGTAGGGGTGTTGGAGGAAGAGGAGGAGGGGGGTTGGAGGAAGAGGAGGAGGGGGAGCTGGAGGAAGAGGGGAGTTGGAGGAAGAGGAAGAAAGGGAGCTGGAGGAGGAGGAGGAGGGATGGAGGAGGAGGACTGAAGTGACTGAGGCAACAGAAAAGAAGCAGGGAGGGCCATATGGGGCTCAGAGGCCGTGGTTGGTGGCCTGTGGCATAGGTGCTCATGACATCCGTATCACCACAGGATGCAGGTTCCTCTGGTGACTCTGCCTGTCCTTCCCTGGTGGCTTGTTGAGAAGCAAGCTTATTGTATAATGTAACGTCACAAAGATGAGGCTCTCCTGAGATTCACTGACAGCCATCCCCCATACCCTCAACACAGCTGATGGATCGCTGTTTGTGGGCTGTTGTTTGTGTAGCAGATAAATGAACTTAGGGACAGTGAACTACCGACCCTCTAAAAACAAAGCTTTCCTCTGTTGGTGGTTTGTTCCGTTTGTCTGTGTCCCGGATCACATCTGTGATACCTTTGGCTCTCTCAGGGATCAGGTTCTCTCTGTGATGGGGTCATTCTGCTTTCATTGCAGGGGCCAGACGCCTGCTGAGTCAGATTTCCAGGTGCTGGAAATTGCTCGGAAGTTGGAAATGTATGGCATCAGGTTTCACGTGGCTTCTGACAGGGAGGGAACCAAGATTAACCTGGCTGTTTCCCACATGGGTGTCCTCGTATTCCAGGTAGGCTGGCGGTGGCAAGGAGGGTCAGCTGAGCTGGCTGCCATACCTGGGTGGGGAGAGTGTCGGGTGTTGTCTACTCTGACTTGTTGTTTATAGATATGTAAGTTGGTAAGTTTTTATTCTCATGAATAAGGTCTTGGATTTGGAGGAGGAATTTACATGTCTCTGATCGATGCCTCACTCAGTAGAGAAGTTCTTTCTCGTCCCTCCTGTAGCCTGTGTGACTGTCCTCGCTGTCACGGAGCGCACATCCCCAGGGCCGCCCACCCCTCTGCCGTGCACACACCACAGATTGACCATTCTCAAGTGTCTATCCAGTTTTTAGTGTGTTCGCAGAGTTGTGCAGCTATCACAGTCTCGTTCCAGAACATTTTCATCACCCTACCCAAAAACACTGTACCTGTTAGCAGTCACTCCCCATCCCCCCAAGCCCTGACGACCGCTAATCTACTCTCTGTCTCTGTGGGTTGGCCCGTGAGTGGAATCATACAATATGTGGCCTTTTCTGTCTGAATTCTTTCATTTAGATAATGTCTTCAAGGTTCATCCCTGTTGTAGCGTGTATCAGTGTACTTCATTACTTTTTATGATCAAAGAGTTTTAGTGTTTTGTTTTGTTTTTAATATCTTTGAAGGGAAAAGCGTTAGTTACCTTGCTGTCTCCCGTCTCAAGTTGTCAGAAAAGAGTCAATGGTGATGATAATCAAGAGAGTTGAAGAGTAAATGCTAGACATATGTTTCAATAACTAAAAACATTTTTATTTGAACAATTTCTAACTTACAGAAAAGTTGCAAGAATAGTACAGAGAACATACCCTTCACCGTGAGGCCCCAGTCAATGTCATCAGCTGCCCCAGTGATGCTGTTTACAGCACAAGGGTCTGCTCCAGGGTCAGGCATTGCAGTCAGTATGTCTTTCTAACCTCTTCCAATCTGGAATGGTTCTTGATTCTTCCCTGGATTTTCATGACGTGACATTTTGGATGATTATGGGCCGGACATTTTGTAGAATGTCCCTCAGTGTGGGTTGGTCCAGTCGTTCCTCACGAGTACTTCATCAGTTAAGCTTCTCTGCCAGGTAAATCACAGAGCAATGCTGTGTCCTTGTGGCTTCAATCAGGTGCCAGAGGAGGTTGTCCTGTCCCGTGACTGATGGTGGTCATTTTGATCACTCGGTCAAGATGATGTTTGCCAGGTGTCTCTACCACCATGTTGCTTTTTGTCCCTTGTCATTAATAACTACTTGTGGAGAGATACTTTGAGACCACGTTAATACCCCGGTGCTCACCCCACTCGCCACGAGTGGGAACCCTCTGACAGCTGCCCAGTGACGGTCTGCCGCTGCGAGGAGGAGATTTCTCCCCTTTTTTTGTTTATATCATTGTGGACACGTGGATTTGTACTAAAATTATATTCTAATTAGAATAATAATAATTTAGGTTAAAATCTGATACTTTAATCCAGCATATCATTATGTATTTTCATCTTGATGTTGTCCCAGATTTGGCCAATGGGAGTCCCTTCAAGCCAGCTCCAGTGTCATTTTGGCGTGTCCCCACACTTTCTGAGCACTTCTTTACTTTGTTTCACAGCAAGATATTCCAGGCTCATCTTGTACTCTACCTGCTCAGCCCTGGAATCAGCTGTTTCTCAGAGAGCCCTGGTCCTTTCAGTGGGGAGTGGTGTTTGGAAACCAGGATCTACACGCTAGACATACCCATTGCTTTTTTGGGTGTCACTGCTCTCAGGTCCTCTCAATGCACAAAGCTGTACATGTGCACACGCACATACCCCTGCATCTATCTCTGTGTCTATCTGTACGTACTGAAACTGAGTACGCGCCATGAGCTCAGTCCCAGACCAGTACCACATGAAAGCTCATCCCAGCTTTCCTTCTCTCCTCAGTGAGAAACCCAGTCCCCACCCCCAGCCCTGCCTGGCCACCCTCCTACCCCACTCAGACCACCTCCTTGCCGGTGTGGGCCCCAAACAGCTTTTTGATATTGAGACGGATGAACATAATCTGTGAGGAATCCTTATCAAAGAAATGAGTTATCTTCTAGAATAGATACATCACATGTTTAGTCTCTGTGTTTATACAGTTATAGAACATCAAGTGGGGACCGAGTTCTCTGCCAAGGGATATAACGGAAGTGCGGTCTGTCCCTCGGGAAACCTCGAGTGTGGGCTGAGCTTACAGGTGTGTCATGAAGTGTTTGTCTCTTAACTTTCAGGGCACCACCAAAATTAATACTTTCAATTGGTCTAAGGTCCGTAAACTAAGCTTCAAGAGGAAAAGGTTTCTTATTAAACTCCACCCAGAGGTCCACGTAAGTATTACTTTGAGCCCTTTTTAAATTGTAAGGGAATTTATTCTGCTAGAATGTTGAGTGTCACCTCATAAATCATTTCAACATAAGGCAAACAAGAACTTTAAGGACAGGATTTAGAATTTGGGTCTGGAATGTTCTAGGGGTACCCTTCCAGGTGCATCAGAACCGCCTGGAGGCTTGTCCCAACACCCCCAATTTAGGACTCAGTGAGTGTGGGAGAGGTGGCCTGAGAAGTTGCATGTCTCACACGTCCCCAGGTGAGCCCAGAGCCGTCGGCTTCCTTGTTTTCAAGGCAGCAAAGCTCTAGTGAGAGTGTCTCACTGTGAGCCAGCGCCCTGTAGCAAGTCAGTTAGAGCTTCCTCCTCCCTGAACTGGGAGTGGCCCCAGTACTCTCCCGTGTCATTCACTGAGAAATTGACCTTTGAATAGCTCCAACTGAAGAGGCCTTCGTTATCAGAAAATAAATACTCCTTTCTTTTGAGAAAGGAGCCCTGGTGGCACAGTGGTTAAGCGCTCAGCTGCTAACCAGCAGCTCAGTGGTTCGAACCCACCAGCTGCTCTGTGGGAGAAAGCTGTGGCAGTCTGCTTCTGTAAAGATTACAGCCTTGGCAACCCCATGGGGCAGCTCTCTTCTATCCTGTAGGGTCTCTAGGAGTCGGAATCGACTCAACAGCAGCGGGTTTTCTATTGAGATGGTTAGTCCGTAGGTGGCACAAATGGTTACGTGCTCGCCTACTGGCCAAAAGGTTGCAGTCTGAACCCACCCAGAGGCGCCTCGGAAGACAGGCCTGGCGATCTGCTTCCGAAAGATCACAGCCTTAAAAACTCTGAGGCAGTTCTACTCTGCACGTATGGGTTGCCATGAGTCAGAATTGACTCAACAGCACCTAACAACAACAAAGTAGTAATTATATGTGAATTTACTGAAATGAGGAGAAATAGAAAAAGTATAGTCTGATGGTTGGGAAAAATCCAATACTTCACAGTGTTCAAAGAGGTTCAAACTGTTCCATGTCCACTTTACAGAGGAAGTGAGAATGTGAAAAGTAGGCCAGCCGAGCCAGCGCGGGGCTGAGGCTTAAATGAGTGCTGTTTCTGTGTCAGCCTAGACACGCCTCTCGGGTCCTGGAGGTTCAGAACCTGAGACTGATCTGCAGAAGGGCTTTCCCTCGACGTTTGCCGGACACCGGGCTCACGTGCTAAACTTAAGTGCTCCCGCTATTGGTAGACGGCGGCTTGAGAGCATGGCTTAATTCTTTATTATTCAACTATCTCTTCTATGGATGAAATGAAAGAATACAGAATACTAAAAATATATATTATACAAAATGCAAGTAAGAGACTGCTTCTTTCCCTGTAAGTAAAAAATGTTTCTGGCAGTTGTTCTGAGAAGATGGGAAAGAAGAGAATTTTTGCTCCATTCCCCAGAGCAACTATTAATTAGAGTAGCATGCTATCTCGGAGCTCAGAGCTGTGTCTACATCTGCACTCGGCGGAGTTACGCCTCATACCCTTAACACTTAGGTTATCAAGAGGAAACGTGGGGGGGACAGTACTCCAGTCTTTCTGGAAGATAATTTGGTGACATACATCAGAGGGCTCAAAAATGTACATTGTCTTTGAGGGCAGAGCTCTGTTTCTAGGACATCATCCACAGGAATAGCTAGCACCTGTCCAGAGATAGACCAGCGTGCTTTCTTCATGGGGATGTTTGTGAGCCTGGAAAACTGCATGTCCTGGACATCCAAACAGTCCCAGGTGTCCAGAGAATGGGGAAGTGAGTCAGAAACAGCATGACTGGCATGGAGAAGTGCCGTCTTTGCAGGTGGGGAAAGAAGGAGCTCAGGGAACGCCCGCAGTGTGTATGGTTGTGGGAGGTTTCTCACTCTTCTGATAGGTCTGTGATGAGTGTACACACTGAGTTTTTCTTCTCTAAGTTAGAAGTTGAATAAATGGAAGCAGGAGTCTTTGTATACAATTTTTAGAAAAAAGCCGCTTCCTAAGTTTTAGGTTTGGCATTCTGTTGTCTGAACTGTTTTCTGCATTTACTTTGCCTTGTCCAATACTTTATTCTTGAATTAGTTACTTAAAGCTTTGTGTTTTGTTTTCAGGGACCTTACCAGGATACATTAGAATTTTTGTTGGGTAGTAGAGATGAATGTAAGAATTTCTGGAAGATTTGTGTGGAGTATCACACCTTTTTTAGACTTTTTGATCAACCTAAGCCAAAAGCTAAAGCCGTCCTCTTCAGACGAGGCTCCTCCTTCAGATACAGGTAGGGGTGGTTCCAGGTGAGCCTCTCGCTAGCATGTGAGGTGGAGAAAAGGGTGCCCTTCGTTTAAGAAAAGAGTGTTGTAAGATGTTTCGGAAAACTTCATATATAATGTAGCTTTGTAAAACTTGGTAAACCTGGAGAAACGTATCAGATAAAATAATGAAAAAATAAGCTTCCTTCCTTGTTTACACTTATCAAATTGCTTACACTTATTCGAAGTATAACTTTAAATATGTATGTATGTATGTTTGTGAGAGAGATTGGCAAGCCTTACTCTTCCTTTTCTTGAACTATGAAAAATTCATGCTGGGGGTTACTGTCATATCTTTTTTAAAAACTGAACCTTTATTCACAGCGGAAGAACTCAAAAACAGCTAGTGGATTATGTTAGAGACAGTGGGATGAAGAAAATTCCCTATGAAAGGTAAAATCTGTGCTCTTTTTGATGTAAAGTGTATGTTTTTAAAATGAATGTTTTCAATATTTTTAACCTTGAATAACATTTCAGATACTTAAGTATGTATTTTGACCCTTGAGTTGAGTTTATCTTTTTTAAATATAATGGATTTATAGTGTCTTTTCAGACATTACCTTTTAGTTTCTAGAAAGTCTGTATAGTTTAGTTTATAGTGTGGTCAACTTTTCATCTGAGAATGTAGGTTGTTTGTTGGTGGATCAAAGTTTTCCTTTAGTGTAGTTAGATAATTTTAGCTCTCCTGGGGCATATATTTATTTGAATTGTTTGTTTTCCACTTTTCTCTCCACTTCTAGTTAGACACCTTATGACATTATATCAGAGTAATTGGTGACTTCTGTCTTGCCATATTTGCACATGGGTTTTCCTTAACGGACAGAGTGAACGGGTTTTTGAATCTGTCAGGAGGAGGAGGACTGGGCAGCTCACGGCTTGTCCTCTCTTTTGCAGACGGCACAGCAAGACGCAGGTGTCTGGCCGAGCTCTGACTGCAGATGTGCCCAAGCAGGTCAGTCCTTTCTGGTCAGAAACGTAGACAGTGCAACTACTGCAGCATCTTCTAACAGGGCCGTGACGATGGGTTGGTGATTACTAACTGATTCGTTTTGCCCTGGACTACCTTTCCATGTTGGATTTTCTTCTTCACATCTTTTCCATTCATTTGTTGATACGAGGCATCGAATTTTTCTTTTACCTTTTTTTTTTTAATCATCTACACTCTTTTGGAAAACAGCCTGACCGTGTTTGACAAACGAAAAAAAACAAACCCATTGCCATTGAGTCGATTCTGACTCATAGTGATCCTACAGGGCAGAGCAGAACTGCTCTGTAGGGCTTCCAAGGCTGAAATCTTGACGGAAGCAGACTGCCACATCTTTCTCCTGCAGAACAGCTGGTGGGTTCAAACTGCTGACCTTTTGGTTAGCAACCAAACACTGTGCCACCAGGGCTCCTTAGTGTTGTCACAAGAGTCTTAAAATTAGTCGTATCTTTTAATGCAGCAATTCTATTTCTGGGACTCTGTTTTCAGAAAGGAGTCCTAAATGAAGAGAAACTTTACGCCTTGGGATGTGCGTCACAGTGTTGTTTGTGATATTAAAAACCCTAAATAGCCACCATCTGTGTGGGGTGGCTCAGTAGCTGCATTGGAGTCTGTCTATTTGATGGACTTGGATTGAGCCTTAAAATCTTGTGTTGGAAGAATATTCAGTGAGCCAAGGAGATGTTCCAAATACGGATTAAGTGAAACAAGCAAGTCATGAGGCAGCCTTATGTAATACGATCCTCATTCTGATTTAAAACAAGCAGGTATGTGTAGAGAAAAGGCTGGAGGAATTAACTCACAAATGCTGCACATCATCTCTGAGTGACAGGATTATGGGTGTTTTTATTTTCCCTTTTGAGCTTTCCATATTTTCATCTTTTACAATGAACACATACTGCTTTTTGTTATCAGAAAAACAACTGAGTGAATGCTCCTTTTACAAAAGCTGAGACTATGTTAAATGCCCAGCATAGAAACGGGTTCACTTCGCTAAGCTGTGTTCGCTGTGTGGAATTCTTAGTAACTAAAAAACACTGCTTATAAAGAGTGTGTAGTAACTAGGAAAATTCTTGCTATTGTGCTAAGGGTGAAAAGCAGGAACAAAGTTATATTTATGTGTGTTTGGGCTGGTTACAGCTATATTAAAACAGTGACACACGCACACACAGTGCACGGAAAAGCATCTGGCAGGAATGTGCCACAGCGTGTGGCAGCTGCTCGGTGTCGCTAGGGTGGAGCACAGGCGACTTCGCATTTCGCG